AAGCCGAAGCCGCTCGTTGTGCAGGTAAACGCACCGCGGAGCCTGAGCCTGGGGCCCCGCAGCTGCAGCACAGCCTGTTTGCAGCGCTCTGTGTCCCCAGGGAGCCTCTTTCAGTGGGTTTCATCATGCTGAGGAGCTGTGCACAGAGCCCTGGCCTTCGCAGGGCCTCGGGGACCCTGGCACTGAGCTCATCAGCTCGTCCCAGCCCCACAAGCGGCCCGTGTCGTCTCGCCTCTTCCACCAGTTGCGATGTGGACCCGTCGCACCCAGGTCCCTAGTCAGCCGGAGGCTGCAAATGGGACTGACGGGCCACCTGCAAGCAGCACCACAGCTGCGCTCCTCGCTCCCTTTTCCCAGGCAGGGGATTGAAGGGAGCTTTTTTTATTGCTTCATTAAGCTGGAGCAATGCACAGCCTCTAAGTGCGAGTGGGCCAGGGCTGCCTGCTAAAGTACACAGTATCCCGGAGGGCAGTGTCCTGCAAGCAGAGCCACGAGGAGGGCAGCAATTCTGCACCAGCACCTAGCGCCCTGTGCGAGGTCCCTGGCTAAGCTCAACCCCTGCCTTTGCCTTGCAGCTCCCCTCCTTCGCCCGCCGCTCGAACATCCTCACGGGGCTGCAGGACCCTGCTGTGGACAACAGGCCCAAGCTGGACCTCAGCTCCTCGGGCAAGAGCCAGCAGCACCAGTACGAGCTCAACAGCAAGAAGTATCACCAGTACCAGCCCAATGGCAAGGAGAGCAGCATGAAGCACCAGTCCCACAGCAAAGGGAAGTATTACTACCAGCTGAACAGCAAGAAGCACCACCACTACCAGCCAGACCCCAAGATGTACGAGCCCCACTACCAGCCCACAAGCAAGGAGCCGCAGAGCCAGGCATGCCTGGAGAGCAGCAAGAGCCCCATGGTCGCCCACCCAGACAAGTGGGCTCATGCCCCTGCCAAGAGCTTGCTGGGCCCAGTTAAGAACCTGTCTGCAGAGAGCAAGAATGGGGCTGAGAAGAACCTGTCGAGTGGTACCGGCCCCCCGCCGCGGGACAGGGTGACGGGCAATGGTCTGGGGGGCAAGATGAAGATTGTCAAGAACAAAAACAAGAACGGGCGCATAGTGATCGTCATGAGCAAGTACATGGAGAACGGCATGCAGGCTGTGAAGATCAAGTCTGGGGAGCCGGCCCGGAAGCGGGCGGCGGACGAGAGGACTCCTAAGAAGGGTGGGGAAGAGAAGCTGGAGGTCTGGAGGAAGCCGGGGGAGGACAGGGTGGCGGGCAGCAAAGCGGAGGG